CTATGTCAAACTGATGTACACAGTTATCGCTAGGTGTGGAAATCTTGCATTGAAATCTCCACTACCACATGTTATTCATGTTAGGCTTTAACTGCCTGTTCTATATATTGTTTCACACAGATCGTTCATTCCTCCTCTTTGCCGTTTAATCTATCTCTCTACTATTCAATATTCTTTCAGAAGATATCACACACGTACAGTATATACTACTTTCAAAACCTTATCAAGCTCAGAAGACAGAACCTCGGAATACTTCTACTCTCTGACCCTCCTCGATCATTTCATATCTCGTCGACTATTAAGAAAATGTTCCATCTAGGCTACTACATTAGGAAGTTCAGACAATCAGGTGATATTCAAGTGTTGGTTTGTAGGGATTTGATTGGTTGCAGGATTTCATCATGAGCTGACATCAGTTAGAGAACCATTGGAAAACCTGGGAGTACTGGACAGCTGTTTCGTCCTAGTTTGGGACTCTTCGGGCGTGAGGACAAATACTCGCCGAAGACATTGGCTAGGGGTCGCGCTATGTCGTGAATTGGCAGAAGTTAGAATTCATGGACCATTGGATCGGGTCCCAGTGGCTTAATGGTGTACGAGCTCGCCTTGTAACCAGAAGGTCCTGGGTTCGAATCCCGGTGGGTGCGTACTGCTGAAGAGTCCCAAACTAGGACGAAACAGCTGTCCAGTACTCCCAGGTTTTCCAATGGTTCTCTAACTGATGTCAGCTCATGATGAAATCCTGTAATCAGGTGATATATTCAACCCCTACTTTTTACAATTTCTTAACTCTTGCATCCTACCTATTATACTTTACTGCTCCCCTTTAGTCTTTCCTAGGCTACTCAAACAGGATTATGTCATAATACACAGGGTATTCAAGGATGTCAGTAGGGCAAGTGGGAACATCATCATTCCCTGGGGAATTAATATACATCCAGGTAGTTCAGGTGTGCCAAATGGAACGAAATGAGCATTGCATATTAGTTTGTTTATTAGATATATCACACAGTGAGTGAAACAGTATTATTGATTACTGGATGACAAGGTTTCGAACACAATTTATTGCGGTTCATAATCATATCTTCAATTATAATCACACGAATTCGAAACTTGACTTTTATAGTTTTCTTTGTTCTCTCCTATTTGTCGTCGTTCGGGTAGGAGACTTTTCCAGATATCTGGGTGAACAGGTGTTGAACCATTCCTATTACACGTATTCTCTCTCAGTTGATTCGATAAACAAAGCTTCCGCTGTCATCAATCTCTTCCTCCACCCTGCTGTTACATTAGATTTTAAAACTGTCATCTTATCCCATCATCCTATTGTATGGTTGTGTGTAATTGCATGTAGTGAGTGGTATAGCTGAACTATTCTCTAGATTTCTTATCTTATTCGGGTCAACCAATCTAGATTTCGCTGCTAGGTTTTTATGTTCGGCTAGCCTGACTGCCCCTGTTCTACCACTCTGACCTACGTATTTGACGTGACAATCATTCCAGCAGGCAGGGTATTAGATAAACTAAATTGTTTTGTTTAATTGGCTCCTCAGGATTGATGCTTTAACCGACAAAGCTTGTTTCTAATTGAGTTTGTGGGTGGTTTGAATGCCAGCCACTTTTATTTCTGCCTGCCTTGTTAAGAATTCTCCGTAATGTGGTTCCCAAGGTTCCTTCCTTGTATGGAATTACTACTAATGATTTAGATTCCTTATTGTTGGTGTTGTCTTTGTTCGAAACCTTGTCATCCAGTAAGTAAATAATAATACTGTTTCACTCACTGTGTGATATATCCATCTAATAAGCAAAACTAATATGGAATTACTTACTGCCACCACCACAGTGCCCAAGTTTTACACATATATTTGAAATGAGCATTGTCCTGGATTCTATTGCTAGTGAAATTATAATCTGACATCGTTTTGAAGCATATCTACACAACACAAGCAGCCATCATGTCAATCTGAGGCCAAACACTTTATTATTATTATTGTTCCCTTGAGTTCCTAGTGGAACATAGGGCTTCAACTACACGTCTCCACTTGATTCTCTCTTCTGCTGCACTTTTCACCTGCATCCATGGTAGTCCATGTTGTTTCAACTCCACTTCACACGATCTCCTCCATGTCACCCTTGCACCGACGAACCACTCGCCGCTTCCCTTTTGGGTTCCACTCGAGCATTGGCCTGACGCGCGATGTCACCCAACGGCCTCCTCAGCGGGTGTCCAATCCATCTCCTTTTTCTCCTGCATATTTGTTAGGCGATTGGTTCTTGCTTTGTTTGTTCCTACAGTTTCTTGTTGGTGATTCTTTCCGGCCATCTGATCTTGAGTATAGAACGAAGACAGCTGTTGATAAAGGTCTACAACAGGCTGTTGGAAATATTCTTTGTGACCCGCCAAGTTTCTGATCCGTATAGAAGAACTGACTGACTTGACGTCTGTATCGAAAATCCGAATCACTTTGTTGTTGATGCTGAGTGACGAAGATTTCCAGATTGGTTTCAGGTTGATTGGTCCATTCAATCAACTGGAAGGCTCAAACTGAATTACATACTTAACCTTATAGGTTTACGAAGGAATGAAAAGTGAACTGAAATCAACCCTAGGTCATGTGTACTTCTTACATGTTAGAAACGATTTATTCACATGCTACTAATATTATTATTATTATTATTATGAAGTAATTCACACTAATCTAAGCATCTAGAATGATTTGATTTAAACTAATCTCAGATTTCTTTACAAAAAGAAAAGCGTTCTAGACAGAGAACCAATTCATGAAAAATCTAAGGTAAAGCACATCTGAGATGGCTACTGATACGTTTATCTATTTGACCTTAAAAATATATATTATGTATATATATTCAATCATTCACGCATTCATCAATTAGTTAAATGATATTGTTTATTCCAACTATAAGATAATTAGACAAGACATTTCTTTCGAGGTCGCATATCTGTCTACCACCTAGCGCTGGATAAATGTGCAAAAAGATGAAAATGCGTGAAAAAATTCCTCTCTGGATGTGTAGGAAGTAATCGTTTTGCAATAATTTTAATTTTCATTAGTTTATTTAAATAATATTAGGAATCAAGGATGTATGTTTCGTCCTGTCTGGGACTCATCAACTGATGTATCTGAAATACCTATTGAGTGAGTGATGATACAGCCCCTCTCACTGAGACTCGAACCTAGTGGCTTTCGTCTCAAAAAAGGAGGTATTATCCACCATTTGACCAATCGGGCCAACAGAGTTCATAATACTACTACTAATAATAAATTTTCTTCCGTCAATTTCCCAGTGGAACATACGGCGTCAAGCTATAAGCTTGAATTTTCGGTAGCAGTGATGTTTATTTTTACAGAATGGGGTTGCTAGCCTCATGCCCAACCTTTCCTCCTTACCAGCTTTTATTACTGGCTTAGCAAGGTAAAGGAGTGCGTCCGTGGCCGGGAATCGAACCCCAGACCATGTGCATGGTCGGCGAGCGTCCTAACCGCTGTGCCACCGACGCACTAATAATGTGAATAATAATAACAAGGATAAATCCACACAGGTGTCTATATAATTTGGGCAGTGAATCACTGTGAATGTGTAATTAGAATGTGAATATTTGTAAGGGTAGAAAAGAATTTAAAAAATTTGTCTCAAAACGATTAGACAATAGAGTATTTCATGTTTGACCATTGATTAGACGTCAGTTAGAGAACCATTGAAAACCAGTACTGGAGTACTGAATAGCTGTTTCCTCCTTGTTTAAGACTGACTGTTCAGTACTACTCACCCGCGACATTACCTTCAGCAATCGAACCCAAATCAAATCCGTGAACCATTTACAAACAAAGAATAAGTGCATCTGTACAACTGAGAACGATCTTGAACCATATCACTTATAAGAATTTAATTGGTGGATGGTGACTAGCAGTGGAATCCAGTGGGAACATCATCACTGACTCACTAGGGAATGCAGGTACATCCAGCTGACGGACGAGTCCCAAATAGGACGAAATGCGCATCAGGGATTTCACTGCTAGTCACCACCCACAAATTAAATTCCAATCACATACCCAGACATCGTCGAAGCATTTGCACAGGAAGCCTACATGTCAACCTGAGACCGAGCACTTCGGTCCAATCAGTCGACGAGAAAATCTAAAATTCAATAAAACATATCACTAATAGTCTCCAGCGATTACACCTTAGAATTCCAATGATCCTAACCAGACAGACGGCCAGAAAAAATCAGTAACAGGGATCTCCGGCAATGAGCGAACCAACCCAGCAGGAACCGATTGTGCAACAAATATGCAGGAAGAAATGGAGGCGGGTTGTATTGGCCATACTCTGAGAAAACAAACTATCAAGTGTGGGACATCACACGCCAGTCCATCGCTCGAGTGGAACCCCAATGGGAAGCGGCGAGTTGCTTGTCAGTGCGAGGGTGAAATGGAGTGGAGAAGGACATGTTAAGAGGAGATAAAAGCATGTGGGCAGACGTGGAGCCGGGTGAAAACGTTGGTAGAGAACCGAACTTAATCGAGATGTGCGGCTGAAGCTCTATGTTCCTCTAGGAACTAAAGGAAACAATAATAATAAATAACCAAACAGAGACAGTCCACATCTAGCTACGTGGCTGGATTAAACCAGCAGTCAAAGTCTTCATGAAGTGATGTCAAGTTTTGATCTAAATACCTTAAAGTCTTTTCCAACCTAATCCTATGTCAGCTAACATTGCTCATCGAGGAAGGAGGTGTGGTTTGGCATGCGCAGCTTCTGGTACATCACTTCACAACCTGATCAACTTTCTTCCCTTCCTACCTAGCACTCTACATCTAACCTTAATATTACTCACTAAAGTATACCGCTTAGCATGGAGGATAACCTTTTCATTTCTCCTACTGACTATGATGTCTAGATAGATAACGAAACACCAATAATGAGATAAAAAGCAGAAATAAAAAAAACACAAAAAACATCCTCGTAGAAATACTTACGTGACTGATATCGGTGCATCTCCACTACGATTCGTATAATTTACAATAGCGTTGAATGTTTGATTGAACCATTGCCAAAAGATGACAGCAGGAGTAGATCTAAATAAAATAATCAATAAAATGGTGGTAGTAATAATCACAAAACCTCAAGGTCATCCATTGAACAGGATACACATAAATTGTTTAACAACAGTAAATTATTTAGGTTTATCACCTGTAATATATATATATGTATATATATGAAATTAAAATGGCAACATTATTTCATGAATATAATTTTGAAAAATAGTTAACAATTTGAATTTTGTTTAAATATATGTGAATGTAACTAACAGTAAACTGGAATTACAAGTTTCCATTTTCACCTTATCAATATTTATGTGTGTACACCAATGAAATAAGGCGTATTTCTTAGATTATTATGGAAAGGGTACGAAATGATGGATGAGATTCGATAACTATTGCGGAAGCACTGACTGATGGAACTCTGTGTGTAGGTTGATGTATAGGCAAGAAATGAAGAGACACGTGACGAGATCATTCTATGCATCATAGAAAGACTTATTATTAATAATCAAGAATAGACTTCACAGTGTATATGTTGGGTAAAATAACTCCAAAATCAATCAAAACCTTTATGAGAGAGCGAACGGCTGACTTCACGATAGCTAGTTACATAGGATGAATTTGATAAATAATTAAGTTTAGTAGACAAATCGAATAAAATAAAAACGTTACGTAACATTGTGTGAAATTTAATAGCATAGAATTTAATGTTGTAAAAAAGGAATTGATTTAGAATGACAAGTAGAACAAGTGAAATAATACCAGGGACAGGTGAAAGTGAGAGTAGTAATAGTAACAATTGACTTAATAAGGAAGAGTATACAAATTGAATAGACAAAATGAAAAATTGGTAGAGCCAAAATATTATTGGGGATTCACATACTTTAGCGTAGAGGGATTAAGACCATGGAAGTTGGAGGGGTTGAACGAACTTTTTCTGTACTTTTCGCCTTGTAGATGACTTTAAAGGCGGAGGCTATAGAGATAGGCAAGAGTAATTTACCCAAATCCCTACGTACCCGACTCATCTGTAATGCTGAAACTTCGGTCATCGAAATAGAAAAGTCAGATCTCTGTGTACAGAACAAGTTCGTTCAACCCCTCCAACTTCCATGGTCTTAATCCCTCTATGCCAAAGTATGGTAATCCCTAATCATATTTCGGCTCTACCAATTTTTCATTTTTCATTTTGCCTATTCAACTTGTATTCTCTTCCTTTATTACGTCAATTGTTACTATTACTACTCTCACTTTTACCTGTCCCTGGTATTATTTCACTTGTTCCACTTGTCATTCTAAATCAATTCTTTTTTATAACGTTAAATTCTATGCCATTAAATTTCACACAATATTACGTAACGTTTTTATTTTATTCGATTTGTCTACTAATCTTATAATTGCACATCTTTTTCAAGTTCTATCCATCCTATGAATTATTCTATATATGACATTAATTTGCTTTGCCACTTGACATTTAACTACGATTATAATCACAAATAATTAAGTATCATCAACTGTTGGTTTGCAGGTTACAGCTTTGATGACGAAATGACATCGGTTGGAGGACCACTGGAAAACCACAAGGGAATACTGCACAACCAGTTGTTTCGTCAGCCTAGTTTGAGGCTCCCCCAGTAGTATGTACACACCAACAGGGTTTGAACCCGAGACCTTCCTATTACAAGGCAAGCTCGTAAATCATTCACCAACTGGGACCCGATTCAAAGGTCGGTGTATGAATTCCAACTTCTTGCATGCTCACTACAGACTGGGTCTGCACAGGAAATAACTTGAAGTTTTGGAGAGAAGTCGTAACCAGCGGGGTCCACAAAGTCTATGATATTGGCTTGCGGTCGCGCTACATAAATCACGAATTGGCAGAAGTTGGATTTCATGAACTGGCCATTGGATCGGCTGCCAGTGGATGAATTGTCTATGAGCTCACCTTATTACTGGAAAGTACTGGGTTCGAATCCTGTTGTTGGGTGCGTACTGCTGAAGATCCCCAGCACACTCTGATGGTTTTCCAAGGATTCTCTAACTGATATCAACCAACTTGTGATCAAACCTATAAATAACTAAGTATCAATATTTGGTAGGTGGTAACTACCAACCAGTGGTTTCCAAGGTAACCACTAAAAAACCCACCTTACTCTATATAGAGAAAATCTCTGAAATAACGGCTACAACACTAAAACCATTCGTACACACAAGTCAACAAACACAACCCTGTAACCAATCAAATCTCTACAAACCAACACTTGAAAATCAATGAGATGCTCACTAGCGACTTGCCCTATTCAGGTAGGTAGTTACCTGGGGTTCTAGTGAGAAGTCATGACCAGTAGGGTGCAGCAGGTCGGGCGTGAGGATAAATACTCGCCGAAGACATTGGCTAGGGGTCGCGCTATGTCGTGAATTGGCAGAAGTTAGAATTCATGGGCCATTGGATCGGGTCCCAGTGGCTTAATGGTATACGAGCTCGCCTTGTAACCAGAAGGTCCTGGGTTCGAATCCCGGTGAGTGCGTACTGCTGAAGAGTCCAAAACTAGGGCGAAACAGCTGTCCAGTACTCCCAGGTTTTCCAATGGTTCCCTAACTAATGTCAGCTCATGATGAAATCCTGTAACTAATCAAATCCCTACAAACCAACACTTGAGAAACACAATAAAACTCATTCAATACTATGCAGACGGAAAAAAACAGCGATAAAGCTTATAAAATAAGTTGCATTACTTGTGAAAATCACTATATTATTTATTGATCAAAGTGGGCATTTTCCCTTGACTTTGAATTCAAGAACATCAACTAGCCGTCGAAAGACACAACATACATTCTTTCATATCAATCAATACTTATAGGCAACTGTGGATACCAGTTTGACTGGAGTAAAAGTGTGAACACTATAAACAACGGGAATAGTGAAGCAGCTAGAGGATCCCTAGAAGCCTAGAACTCTGATCAATATTTACTTAACACGACAGAGATCAAATTTATCAAACAATGAAAAAAACAGATCAAACAGCAGAATGATAGAATTCCAGGTAGATGATTACTAATCAATACAAATTAATAGAGAGACAAATAAAACCAATGAGGAGAGATAGTTACATCACTCAAAGAGAATTTCGAAACCATTAGCTTTATATATGAAGCAAGTGTTGAAAACATTATCTAGACGGATACTAAAAGCCTGGCAACTAAATCATCCAGTCCAGAGAACACAACCATGTCAAAACACATCCATCCATCTCTTACTTGACACACGAATCCAACACTCAAAACTTTAAAAAACACTAATGGTGCGTCGATAGTTCGGCGGTAGAACTCTCGCCAACCACGCATGTGACCCGGGGATCGACTTTCAGCCGACGGATTCCTAAATCTTACCCAAGGCGGTAGTGAGGCAGGTAAAGAAGGAACTTTGGGTCTAAGGCTAGCAACCACACCGCGTAAAAATAAAAACTACTGCTACCGAAACTTCAAAGCTCTAAATTGAAGCCCTATGTTCCACTGATAACGTTAAGGAATAAAAAAGAAATGCTATATAGATTATTTAAAGTAATCCCAGAGTGTTTAAGAAAAACTCAAAACAAGATTTTCTGAAGGTTTCGCTGTATATGCCACAGCTTATTCAGCAAAATAATATTATCAATAGAAAGGACAAGAAGAGAAAGCCGAAATTTGAAAAATCTCGGGACATGTCTGTAAACTGGAAATGTCTAATGAAATCTAGTAAAGTGGCTTCTTCTGCATGGCATATATACCTCACATCCGCCAAATACAAAACTGCACCTGATAAGTGGTTTGGGACTCATTCAGATATTTTTTTAGGCATTTTAGGCGAATACTTTGGGTGGAACATCGGTAATCTGTACTATTATTAATTTCTTGTGTTTCAAGAACATACGCTCTCAGTGACATATCCCTATTGCACTCAGTCCTTTACCATCAATCCCAACTGACTCCAGGACTTCCTGCAAGCCTTCATTTTCTATCCACAAAAGCTTCTCCATGTCATCGTCGGCTGGCCAACTCGTCGCCTCTTATTAGAATTCTATCTGAGGAACTGGGCGTGTGACGTCACTTGGTGTCCGCCGGTAGTCTGTACTTCGTTATCATTTTGTAAGACAGATTTGAAGGAAACTGGTAGGGGAAACTAACAGGTATTTGGTTTACTTATTGGTATCTTAGGGTTATTATTCAAATAATACAAACACTGAATGGGTCTTGTAACAGCTGAGCATGGGGTTTTAAGTTATATTTGAGCTTTCTATGATTACAATTATTAAACAGTAAATCTCACATTTACATATTAAAAGCTAGAGCACAAATGTGATTGCAAAATTTTATTGCGTAATAAATATATGTAATTTTACTTACCAGAGTCTGTGGAAATAGTTCAGCAACGAAAACTAATGACGATACGATTTGGTATTGATTTTAGTAGTATTCTAAGCAACCTGTTGAAGTGTTAATATTTAAGCCCAGTGTACTAGACTATTCCTGATACTTTATTTTCCCATTATGTTGAGTATATCTTTTCTTATTCCAGAATAATGTAAATTAGGCCGATGCAAAAATATAACAAGTTAAATCGCCTATTTAACCTCCGGATTTTCAACACCAATGTGAAGTCAACTTTTTTTATTATAGCTTGATTCGACACCGTATTTTTGGTACAAGTATGGAATTTTCAGCATGTGATATCGGTAGCCAAAATTTTGCTGGCCGACCATAGATATCAGGTGTGCGTCCGTAGGGGATCGAACCCCGGACCATGTGCATAGTCGACGAGAGTCCTAACCACTGTGCCACCGACGCACAGTGCTATTATAAGGATAGATCAGAGACGGCGCGTCATGAAGAGCACCTCGAGCAAACTGCAGGCCTTCATCAATAGCTGTCTTCGCTCAATACTCAAGATCAGATGGCTGGCCAGAAAAGATCAGCAACAGAGAACTCTTGTAGCGAACCAACCAAGTAGGAACCGATTGTGCAACAAATAAGCAGGAAGAAATGGAGGTGGATTGTATTGGCCATACTCTGAGAAAAATACCATCAAGTGACATCACAAGACAGGACCTCGAGTGAAACTAGAACGGGAAGCAGCGAGTTGGTCGTCAGTGCGAGTGTGACATGGAGAAGCTCATGTGAAGAGGAGATGAAAGCATGTGAGCAGACGTGGAGCCAGATGAAAACATTGACAGAGAACCAAACACAATGGAGACATGCGGCTGAAGCCCTATGTTCCTCTAGGAACTAAAGGAAACAACAATATATAATAATTGGACCTACGTTATATTAAAGCTAATATAAAATAATCTCTTAGAAGCCATTTTTGGCTGAATCAGAAGTAAGAAAGAAGCAGTATAAGCAGTAAACCGTTCTATATGTTGCCAAAATTTACTACGTTCCTTGTCAATCTTTAAAAATTATGCAGTGAAAAAGAAAAAGAATCATGGTACTTACTTGTAGAATTGTAACAGGCAACCTGTTATAAACATGTTCCCTGGCACTTGAAACGACATTCGCCCGACCAATACCATCTTCTCTCCTGTATCTGGATGAAATGCTGAATCGTATACATGTTTAGCATGCCAAAGTTTTTCAACAGTTAAACCAGGTGGAATAACTCCTGCTCTGTAATTATTTATTTATGTTGTCATTTGAAATGATACAAATGTGTATATATAAAGTACCTGTAGTTTTGAACAATAGTTCTTGCTTCTTCCAGTTGACTAGGTGTTTTAAATACATTCAAAGGGTTAGTTGTGATGAAAAAGTGTTTAGCTCTACCAACGTAAGTTGATTGATCATAGCGTGGCTTTTCAATGTCAATAGTTTTACCATGAACTAATTCAGACGACTGTATTAAAAGTATTTAAAACAAATATGAAGGCATAAATTATTAAGGCGTAAATAAAAGCTAACAGATATGAAATAATATGAAATATAAGCAAATAAAAATAGAATAACACCAAAAGGACATATATGCACATAAGCGACAGGATTTCATTCAGAATAATGATGCTTAGTTATGGATACATTTGCTCCATTTTACCAAGCATTTCCAACATTCAATTCTTAGCATACCAACTAAATGAATAAATATGGGTATATTTACACCGCCATGACAGACTGCTGTTTATAACATCTTGAGTTACTGACAATCGATTTCGGTAGTGTTGTAGGATTCAGCGAAGTAATATACAAGGCTTAAACTAAAAGAAGATTAACTCTTGAAGTGATGAAGTCTATCCATCTGATCAGTGTTTCTTAATTTTAACCTTAATCCACTTCAGACAACATTGGATGTTAGAGTGGTCAGTGACTTACATTCTTAGTTTGATCAAATAACCTGCCTCTTATGTAAACATTATTTTATCTAACTTCTAAACTGTTTATATTGACTTTCATTAAAAGTTTACAGGTGATTAGTTATACAGGACTATTTATTACAATTATCCGAGAGGCTAACCAGTAATTCAAGAAAGAAAAAGAAGTTTCAGTAAGTGGTCACAAATTCGAATCAGACAAAGAGAGGAAAAACCGGACATATGAGAAATATATGAATTTTCTTTAACTAAAAAATACAGTGTAGAAATACAGGAGAAATAAGAAGCCACCTAGCTTTAACACAATACATGTCTCAAGTAACAGAATATTTTCATATATATGAAACAATCTGACGGTTTCTTGCGGTGATTTTGAGACAATTAAAATAAACATTGTAGAGAAACAATCGATATATCATTGCTTCAATCAAAGCCCACAAATGTCCGTAAACACCCAGTGCCAGCTAGCACGAAACCTAGGTCGAAGACTTCCTGACGATTGCCTCCAACTATCTAATATCACCCAGAATATTAGACAATTTCGGTGTGAACATTATTGTAGTCCTTTTACATACTTAATTCATCATGTTCCTGTACGCGAGAATAAATGAACTTTTAGACAGCTGTTTGAATGAAAAACTTAAAATGTATTAAATATTAGTATCCTCACATCTGTTGTCATATTTCACGAGCAGGTCGGAAAAACCTTGGAGTTTTGAAAACTCTGTATCCACCATTGACCTTGACCTTGAAACAGTTTCTAACATATTAAATCTTCCAATTGCCCTGTGATGATCACAAAATTTTGCACTCTCTTATGCTAAACTGAGCTCTACATATATGTTAGGACATGTCTGAATTTTTCTGCTACTGCAGACATCTACTGTTGTAATAATAAATTGTAATTTTTGTAATCAAAGGATAAGGATAGGAGACTGAAAGAGCACTCAAATGCGCTCTTCACATGTATATGGATACCTATCTTTGCTTCTTTCTTCAGTTTATGGTTAGCTTCACAAATCCAATGAGTCTCATTTCGGTTTTTTTCTGAACTCGCACAACCAAACACAGTTTTTTGATTCCAATGCTGATTAATATTAATAACGGTTACTTGAAAGATCCTCCACTTCACCTTCAGACTTTGGAGACCTTAAATGTTTTGTATTGTGGAATAATTTGAAATTATGTCCTCGAGTATATTATTTCAAACCAATATGCTTGTGCATTTCTGAACCGAATCCGCTAACTACACCAATTGGTATGATCCCCCAGCTGTTGCCTAGAATTTTGAGTGACGCTGTTTTGGAGGTTGAAGGTATCGACGTTCGCGAACTGTACGGATTATACTAACGCAATTAAGTTCCGGACATTTGTCAACAATCGGTTGAAAAGTTGGATCGAGGAATGCTTTCATCTTAATGACTGACAAGCTGGGGCCTATGTAGGTTATGCCTTTGATAGATAGTCTAGTTGTACTGTCTATCAGTCGTTTTCGGCGGACGTCTACGAGCAAATCGTGATGATTAAGTAGGTCGGTGCCAATGATGGGCATCGTGACGTCAGCGATAAGGAAAATCCACTGAATAGGTTTGCGTAAACCTACGTTCAGATAGACGTATTTCCGACCAAAGGTTGCAATTGGTTTTCCATTTGCAGCCTGTAAGTTGAAGGTAGGTTCCTTCTGTCGATCTGCTGCTGTAGCAGGAAGAACATTGACTTCGGCACCTGCGTTGACTAAATATCTACTCTGGCTGATTACATCACGGATGTAAAGTAAGCGGCTAGTGCCATCGGCGACGGTTGCCGCTAACGCGTGCCGGTGGGATAGTTTCCCACAGACTTTGAGACATTGCCGAAGTTGCAAGGTTTACGGCAACATTTCGCTACCTAGCCATAGGTGTTGTGACACCAACACCAGTCAGGATTTTTGTGAGAACGTGGGTTGGACTTAGAACGATCACGTGCGTTCTGCCGTTGAGGGGATTTAGGACGACTGTAGGAGGAATTGCTAGGCTTGTTTGACCTAAGCATCTGCTGGATGGAGTTGCATAACTCTATCATCGCAGTATCCTTACTCGAAGTCAGTTTGGTAACTGAGTATATTTCGGTAACTGGCCGTTTCGTTATCTCTAGAATTTTATCTGCAGAGATAGCTAAGTTATCCATAAGAACACCCTGAAGTGTCACAAGTACAGTCTGAACTGACTGTGGCAGTTTGGATACAAAGAGTTCTCTGAACAGTCCTTCGTCGAACTGACTTTGGTCAATAATCTCTCTCATTCTTGCCAGCATGCACATTGCTGACTGATCCCCTAACTCGATGTTACGAAATAATTCATCCAGAAGCTGTCGATCCGTGAGAAAGTTTCTCTTGAGGAGGGATGCTTTGAGCAACTCGTACGAGTTACTTACCTCTGGACTCGACATCTTTCCATTACGCACCTGCTGAATCCCCGCGGTAGGGCGCGAATAACTGCGAGGAACTGTGAACGCTGATCGGTTATCCCATGTTCACAAAAATCAGACTCAGCTATCTAAAACCACGTTTCAGTATTATCTGGCCAATATGGTACGAGGTAAATTGCTTTGGCGGTTGAGCGAATACGAATAATCTTGGGGCTAGGATCACTCATGACGAAATGTGTGCCGATTACAAAATAGTACAAGAACAAACACAAAAAGGAACTAACTCACCTGGTTTATCTGCGTGTTTATTGAAGATGAAGTTCGCGGTTGGGCTCACCAGTTTGGTGGTTGAAGGCATCGACATTCGCGAACTGCACGGAGTATACTAACGCAAGATCTTATACCAACAACTTCTATGGTGCTCGCACTTCGAGTACCAAAGATAAAGCAAAAGACCAGATTTTGTCGTCCAAAGTACGTATTATATTTCGGGACCAAATCGCGGGTAGAGGTGAATGCTTAGCTAGCTAGTAATCATGCACGCACGTGACACGACTGAGTACCAAATGGCGGGGATGCTTGACCGGAAGCCTTCAGCTAAACAAGTCGACTTAAACAGTGAGGGTCAGCATCCAATGTTTAGTGATGATTGCTGTGGTCAATAATTTTGGGGAATTATTTACCGCTACACTCTCCTTGTTCATGGGCCACAATATCTTATTGCGACTACAGAATTCCTGTGCAAGTGGTCAATCACAGTATATGAGCTGTGAAGACGCCCTAATAATCACTTTTAGGATACTATTCATTTACACTATTTGTCGGATTCTGAACTCGCTCACATGTACGCAACAGCTAGAAAATACACTGATGACTGTTGTACGGTCAGCTGTTCTAACAGGACAATGCCATGGCAGCACAGGAGGCTGTCTCATAATGGCCCACCTTCAAGATATGCCTAGCCCTCTACTTGTGTTACTCTTTAGAAACCGACTTTTTTCAGATAATTGCCGAAGTTATCAACTGACAGTGGCATTATTATTGTAAACTAACTGCTGTCACAGACTTTTTGTAGGCACGGCAGCGAACAAGTGTGGCAAGAAACCTAGTTAAATACATGGGAATGCATTCATCATCCAACAGATAAAGGAAGCTTTGCGAATCTCAAGGAAGATATGGTTCCTATTTTTCTGCTCGTCTCATCCTTCTGAATTCCTTAATTACTGCCTATATCCGAATGACCATAGTATGCTGTGCTGTGCACGTAAATTTATAATCGTATCTGGAGATGACATCAGCAAGCTGCTTGTCCATGTTGTATTGGCTTATAGACCATGTAGTGCTGTATAGTGTTACCAGCTTACCTGCACTGAAGCATCTTTTCATTGTCCTCACCAACGTAATAAAAAGACAGTTAACCAGACAGATGTATATAAAATGTAAAAAATGTGACTGAGAGATCATTCTGACTAGGAGAAAATTGAAGTGTAAGAAATGCGCTTAAGCGGACGGCTTGTAGGTGAGAACTAGACAGTTTATTTTACTCTCTTCCATTCTCTGTGGTCATTACTAGTGACCTGAGATGAAGGGAGTCAGGTGGTCCGTGATGGCATTGAAGAAATGATTTCATTCAGTGAGCATGTTGGTTCATGCAGGTCAGGGTAGTGTATGGAGAAGGTGAAGTTTGTGTGTGTGAATGTATGTGTGTGCGAAGGCAGTGATGAATATGTGGTGCGTTGTCGGGCGTGCATAGAGGCGTCGCGATGGCCGAGTGGTTAAGGCGTTGGACCAGAAATCCAATGGGGTCTCCCCGCGCAGGTTCGAATCCTGCTCGCGACGGGCTTTTACACGAACCATCGACAATTCCACCTGTCTCGGCCTTTGTAGAAAACGAGGCAGGAGTGATTTTGATTTAGACATGTTTTCTGAGCTAAGTGGTTTATTTGCGAAGCTTTCATTGCCCTACTAGGCAACATCGTCATCGCGTACTTCAATTTATTTTTTTATTTTTGATTACAACTTGACTCCACACCGTATTTTCAGTACAAGTATGGAATTTTCAGCATGGATATCGGTAGCCCAAGTTTACAGGCCGACCATAGATATCGGGTGTGCGTCGGCAGGGGATCGAACGCCGGACCATGTGCATGGTCGGCGAGAGTCCTGACCACTGTGCCACCGACCTTTTAGATTTCTCTACGAGTTTATTAGTCATCTCTCCTGGTGATGAGTACCACGGTCAAATAACCTTGAAGCAACCAATCAGATCTGTCAGAACTAAAAAAGATGGTTTTTGTGATCTTCGTTTCAAGTTTTATCCTGATTCAGGGTTAGGGTTAGGGTAGGAGTAAGATAGGGTTATGGTTAAGGTTAGGGTCACCTTTGCCTCCACCTAATCTAGAAAGGTTGTCAACTACAAAGAATAGGTAGCATACCAAGAAATAACTTTGAGAAAAAGAATCTTTTCGGTAAACTTCCACAAAAACGATGTTGAGGAACTCTTCGTGCACATAAACCGACATGTCGACTCAATAAAATTCACTATGGAAATAGAGAATGAAACTGGGGAACTGCCTATGTTAGACCACAAAATACAAAGAGTAACAGATGCTAGCATAAAATCGACGCTATTTAGAAAAACCACACACTCTGGAAGGTTCCTTGATTATCACGCAGCTCATCCACTCACGGTAAAACGAGGATTATTAGAAGGTCTTGCAGATGGAATACGTTGACTTAAAACAACACCAGAGGACCAGCATAAAAAAATATGCGTCCTATTCAAAATGATTATCGACAACAACTACCAAAATGAATTTATCAAAGCTAATAGAAAAAACAGAAAAAAGAGGGTAAAACCGGAGAATGACGAGATGGAAAAATGTAAAAAGCAATCAAAATACCATATAAAAATGGTACATCAGAGGCAATCAACCAACCAACCAATCAATCAATCCTAGAACCAACCAACCACCCGTGCATTCATCCGTTCATTAATTCGTTCGTTCGTGCGCTCAGCAGATGAACTGACTCACATAACGGTAGGCATACAAGCAAAAGCTGACATAGAGAATCAGACAGACACACAAACAAACACACACGCGCCCACACACACATACAGACACCTAAACACACATAAACAAATGCACAGACACAAACACAAACGCTGATGCGGATGCGGAGGAAGATGCAGATGCCGATGCAGAAAGTCACTCACACGAACTGCGTGTATGCCTGTCCTAGGCCTTCACGAGATGACAATGAGGTGGGAAATCACACATTGACTACGAGGAACACCACAATCTTCACACTCCACAAACACTTCATCCATAGACAAATGGATTTGTGC